TCACCTTTTGGTTATTGTGTCATTTATTTCCATCATGACTCATCATGAATCCATCCATTTTTATGTTTTGTCATTTTCTTTTCCTTTTCTTTTTTCTCTCCTGTTCAAACAGATAAAAAGGTTTCTATTGAACATGCAAGCCATCGTAAGTCTGCTCTTCCATGACTTCACACTCCCATCCATTTCATACTCTTTGTGGTGTGTGTGTGTGTGTTTATGTGCTTATAAAACTGTTTGTTGTTGTTAGCGCAATGGACTTTATATGAGATATAAAGGAGACAGGCAGAAGTCCTCCACTGGTTTAACATGTTGTTTTTATGAATGGATGACGAGAGGGAAGAGGGAAGTAAACCTTGTAATTTTAACAGTACTTTAGTACAGTAGGAGACTCTTCCTTTCAAAGCTCAAACTATCATCTGTGCAAAACACAATGAACAGGGAAATAACTTTGGGGTTTTTTTTTAATCATGCAGCTAATTATTTCAAAAGTGGAAAGAAAATGAATCTTTTCAATCAGAATTCTCTTACAAATAATATACAAATAAATACAGGAGGAAATAATAGGTGAAGCCAACAAAGAGGACCATTTGTGACTTTGAATTCCATTCAACAAAAAAAATAGAAAAAATATTGAATTTTCTTGACAAAAATGATTTCTGAATTTAACCAATCCATGAAACAGTGTTGTAATGAATGTTAGGCACACCGGAGCAGTGAGCTGCGAGTCAGGGCAGGACTGAAACCGGAAGTCATGGAATTACATGCCCAATCATTTTATCTGGAAGTGCTAGGTTGAAGTGCTAGATTGTATTTCCTTAATACTCTAAGGTCTGTGGTAAAGCAGAGTTAGGAAAAAGTCTGATTTTTACATCGACATCCATTCATATTGTGAAACTGTATAAAACCTGAGAAGTGGTTTCTAGTCCACATTGAACATATGTGTCCACATCACCTACCTTTGGACGGTCTTTGGTTGAGGCACCCTGTACTTTGTTTTCATACTGTCAGTGTGAGTCTATTGTGTAGACACTTACTTTTTGTCCACGTAACCTGTAATTGTTTTTATCCCTTCTCCTTGTCATTGTTGAATAAGTGCATTACAAGTTTCTCAGATAGTTTCGTTCAGTGAATTCACATAACATCTCCCTGCAACTATAGAATAAGGTAAAAAGTTACACACGCATCAGAAAAATAAATGTCTGTATGAGTCAGTTGAGCCGCCTGTGATGGAGCATGACAGAGAATAATCTGTGAGGCGTGTTATGGTTGGAGCTAAGTGACATTTCTTTAAGCTCACACTCTTTGATCCACGTGCACTTCACAGGGAGCGTAAGATCTGCTGGAGAAAAACCTTTGGTTTCTGTCTGACTTTTCAGTTAATCTGTGGGATCATTTACATGTGGTGTTACACTAATTCCTCCAGCTCCATGTGTCTCGGGTTCAGGGGAGAGCAGCTGCAGTAATGCACCTAATTCGCCATTGTTAGGTTCCTGTAGCTACTGTGGATGCCTGTCAGATTTGGTTCCATCTTGCCTCGTGAACTCCTCTCCTCTCTCTGCCAGCCTCTGCCTTACTCTCCTGATCCTTTCTCCTGGCTCTGGCATCCTACAACTTCTTGCCCACTCTTTCAGGCTTGTTCTAATTCAGGCTTTTTCCCCAAGCACTGCTGGCCTTATCTCTTGCCCCTCACCATACGTATAATCCTTCTGTGCTTCTAACAAATCACAACATTATCGGGTTTCTTCCAATCCTTTTGCCAAATTGCTTCTTCACTAGCTCTCTTCTACCCTTTATCCAGACTGTCTGCTCTTTTTTCCACTTGTGTTTGTCCTGCTCCAACCTCACTTATTTTCTTTCACTTCGGGTTTTACTGCCAGTGTTTGGTAGTCAGGTCTAAACAGGGTGTTTTGGGTTTTTGTTTTTGTTGTTGTTGTTGTTGCTAACTACTTACTGGGATTTGCATGGGAGGTGTGAATAGATGGAGCCCAACAGATGTCTCTGATGTTTTGTAGACAAACTTAATTAGTTTGATCAGGTTTAAGTTTGTGTTGTGTTGTTGGTTTTTGTTTTTAAATCTATTTTAAAACAACATCCACAAAACCACAGCTGCACCGGAAACGCCATCCATCACTGTGATTGTGTACCTTTCCATACTGCTGGTGGAGCTATATCTCCTCTCTAATGCTATTGCAACATAACAGATGGTTGGACACAGTCCACAGTCCTTGTTTTGGAGAAATAGCCTTTATGGGGTTCTGCTAAAGCTCATCTTCTACCAGTAATTCATCACAGATGAGTATCTGACTCACTGAGGATTCTTCAGACTTTTTTCATAGTATGCAGGATTTTGCCTTTACAAATATTACTTGGATTTTAACGGTTTGTTAGAAGCTCATGCACGCTTTTCCAAATATTTAGGACATTTCTGGGTAGGTGTCAGAAGAGACATCTTTAATAAAGAATAATAACAACATTTGTAATCTGAGTTACAGACACCAACAGCTAACAATTAACTGCTTCCTGTCACTAAGGGCAGTGGCTGCAAACTCAGCCTTTACATCTTATATGAACCATCTGTGTGACAATGTGGAGCATAATTATAACGCTTCAACTTTAAATGATGCCCAGTGGTTTTGGCTGAGTCAGTTAAAGGTCAGATTAGCTCTAGACTAGCTCAAGTCATTTTAATTAAAAACACTGAACAGTTAAAAAAAAAAGTCCCCATCTGTTTATCGAAGCGACACCTTCTCAGGTTTTTATCAATTCAGGCCATAGAAATATTGATTTTACCGAAATAAAGCAATGTGAGAATTTCCTTAGCAACTCACAGCAGTTTTTTGTTTTGTTTTTTCCACCTAAATCTTTACACCAAACCCAACATACAATAGCCATAATATTAATTAAAGTTTGACTGTAAAGTTTTTTTTTTGTTTTATTTTTTATTTTTGTTTCTTCACCTTCAATTCACCGTCAATCCCTTTTTTTAGCAGCTCTAGCTCCAGGTACGAGTGTAGCAGTCTATGCCGGTCTGGTGGTGGCACTGCTGCTCTGTGTGATCCTGGCAATTTGCGTAGGGGCCCTGGCATATCGCCGCAGACGACGACACCTCCACGGTGACATCACAGATTCTTCTTCTGCTCTGACAACAGGGTTTCACCCCGGCAACTACAAGCCTCCCAGACAAGGTGTGTTCACTGGTCAACTATAATGACAAATGAAATTACATACCAAAACTACTAATGCTAAACTAAGAGTTTAATAAACTACAGGATTAGTCACTGTTTTGACTTTTTAGTTCTGGGGTCAGTGGTTAACTGATATAAGGCTGCGTCTTCACTAATAACAGAGTGTGTACATTATGTACCACTGAAATTCACCACTGTGTCTAAACAATACGTAACTGCAGTGTGTGTAAATTTATTCATATTTCTTCTATTTTTCATTGTAAATATATTTCTTAGTTTCACCGCTATTTATAACTTAACATGAATTAATAATCATCCTTCACTTAGGCAATCTATTCCACACTGCATTGCATTCCCTGTGTTTTAAGCATTTATCATAGTGTGCCTTCCCCTGTTCCAGCCTTTAAATATTAATTTGCAACATTAATATAATTCACCGGCGTCACTTTTAGCACTCTCTGTCCCGTTTCTGTCTTTTTTGGTACTGACGGAGCGGCTGCTCTCCTACTCTCTGTCCACAGATAACCCTCACCCCCTTCATCCTTCAGCTCCTCCAGATCTGACAGCCACAGCAGGACATTTTCGTGGACCACTCTACTCCCTGCAGCAGGCTGTCAACGACAGCCCCCACAAGATCCCCATGACCACCTCCCCTCTGCTGGACCCTTTACCCAGCCTCAAAATCAAGGTGTATAACTCCTCCACCCTCTCCTCCCTGGAGCTGCCTGTGGACATCAGCTCAGGAGATGGAGAGATCCTCAGTCTCAAATCAGTAGGAACTGTGGGGAGAGAGCGAGAGTATCCCAGTCACACCCTGTCCAGAGAGCCGGGCCTGAGCACTAGCGCCACCTTGGGTAACCTGGGAGGACGCCTCACCATCCCAAACACAGGTAATAATTACAAGACTAACAACTTTATTTTTTATTTTGGAGTTTTTTGTACAATTACAGGCAGAGGGGTTTACCCTGATGAAAAACAGTCCTTCAGATTTCCCAAACTTTTTCAATTTGAAAATACTTTGTTTGCTTTTTCAGTTTTATCAAAACATTACCATACAACAAAGCGATTATTATTATGAAAAAGAGAAGCTTGACAGGGTACAATTTTAACAAACATTTTAGTACAGAGAGAGAGGTTAGAGAAAAAGGCTAATGTCTTTTCATAACAGCATTAAAAAGAGCCCTTTGGTTTCAGTTATAAAATGGGATAGAATTTGTTGTTAGGAAAAAGGAAAAAACATGTCCAAGAAATTGCATGTTCCTTGTCTTTCTGGTCAAGGTGTTCAACTGTAGTCTTTCAGATCAGGGCCGTTGCTGAAGTAAACACTTTCAGTGCCAAATTTAAACACCTGTGAAAATAGCTGGGTGTGATGTTTGCTTTTCATTTATAAAGAATGTCCTGCAAACGCTACCTTAAAAACCGAATTCTATTGAGATACATACAAAGACATAAAATCACTCTGGCCTTTCCTCCGTCAGTGGTCACCACAGTGGTAGTCTCTATTGATTTGGCAAAAGGTGGATTCAAACTCACATCTCTTGTTTGGTTGGCAAGAATTCTATCAAGAATTCTGCAGTGCCGCTGGTTCCTAATAAAATATATTCTTTACCATATACTTTTATTTATTTAAGATATGTAAGGAGCAGCGGTTAACAGGTAGGTCAGCGGTTTGCTGGTTCGACTCCCAGTCTTTCTGTATGAAGTTGCCATGTTCTGTGTTCTTTCCTCAGGGACTCTGATATTCATCAACAGTTTAGAACCATGCAGGATTAGGTTGCGTGAACTCACCATAGATGTAAATGTGCGTGTAAACTGTTGCTTGGCTCAGTAAATGCTAAAGTAGTTTCACAAAGATTCCATTGTGATGTAATGCTGCCTTTGCCCTGTAGGTGTCAGTCTGCTGGTCCCTCCTGGAACAATCCCCCAGGGCAAGTTTTATGAGATGTATCTGATTATCAACAAGTGGGACAAAACAACGTGAGTGCCATCGTCGTCAATGACTTGGATTCATTTTTCATCAACACTTACTTCTTTCTTTATGAATTGTGTAAGAAATTTACGATAGATCAGAATAGATTAACTAGATTAGATTAAAGATTGTTAACTTCTACATAAATACAGTTGCACTTTTTCCGTTTAGATTTGACATTTTCCTTGTCTTTGTCGTTTAAATGAAGTTTGTTTTTGTTTGTGTTCATAGTCTGCCCTCTGAAGGCGGGCAGACCGTCCTCAGTCCTGTGGTGAGCTGCGGTCCATCTGGGATGCTGCTCAATCGTCCTGTGGTCCTCACCTTGCCTCACTGTGCCCAGTTAGACACACCCACACCTGACTGGACCCTCACACTAAAGACCCAGACACACCAGGGGGCCTGGGAGGTCAGACTGTTTAAAACCAAAATGACACATAATGGTGATCTCCTCTAATATGGTCTAACGTCGGGGCTTTTATCCCAGGAGGTGCTGACAGTAGGAGAGGAGACTCTGTCCTCACCCTGCTACCTTCAGCTGGAGGAGGAGTGCTGTCACGTTCTGATGGAGCAGCTGGGAACGTACGGTCTGGTGGGCCAGTCCTGCCCACCGCAGCCGGCCTGCAAACGCCTGCAGTTGGCTCTTTTTGCCCCCCGTGCTCCCTGCCTGTCCCTGGACTACAGCCTGCGGATCTACTGCATCCATGACACTCCACATGCCTTCAAGGTGTTGATCTCTGTCCCTCTGTGTCTCTATTTGTCTCCTACCAGATTGATGCTCTGCTCTTCACCTTCATCCTCCTGAATCCCCTGTTTTCTTTTGTTTGATGTATAAATCAATAGTGTGGTTGTAGTTTCTGCACCGGTTCAGCCTCACGTTCTTCTGAAACACCACTGGACACAGAAACAGATCGTAAACAATGCAGCAGAGATCCCGCTGCGATAAAGTCCACTTTTTTGTTCACACATTCATCTTCCTCTTTGCAACGCAAGCACCCACATGAATCACAATCTAACTTGTGGTTCTGTTAGAGATTTGGTTCTGTTGTCCTGGTGGCAGCTAATGCATCTTCAAACAAAAGAATAGTGATGGCCTTTTTCTCCGGACCCACACTCAAAGATTTTGTTTGGTGATGTGAAAAATCCAGGCTAGGAGAGAATCAGATGATTCATCACATTTTAAACTTGGTGTCACAAAGTCTTACATACTTGATACAATCTTATAGGTGTATTTGTTCACAGATACAGTTGTCTAAAACAGATGTACAATAGAGGAAGAGAGTGTGAGAAAGGCCGCTCTCTCTCCATTCGCTCCAGTGATTCTTTACCCAAAGGTCTGTCCAGGTCTCTAGTTAGCTAACCCACTTCGGTTACACACAGTTACACAGCCAGTTGTTTGTCTGATTAAGTCAGCATGGCAGTGTTTTCATTTCATTTGGCTTGCTGCTTTTTAAAATAATCTTTAACAAAAGAAATTAAATTAACCATTAAAGCTAAATTTAGGGTTTTTCACAGCAAACTTTTAAAAAAATATTTTAAATGTATTTATTTTGGTTTAGTTTTTGTCTGTCTCGGGCCATACATCAAGCAATCTTTTGGATATATATTTTATTAAATCTATTTTAAAAAGTCTCTGCTGACATTTAATAATCTTTAAGCTAATTTTTGCCTATTAAATTTCCAATTTATTTTTGCATTAATGTTTTTTCTTTTCTGCTTTAATTAAAATGTGGAATTTAATTAAGCAATCTATTTTAGAATTGTACTGTTATTTCCAAAGGTTGAAGATTGAAGATAGTCTTAGATATAACAGCTGTACTTCTAGGACCTAGTTAAAGGACATGGCCACGACCTTAGTTATTTTTACATTATCGACCCTGCCCCCAGCCCTGACATGTTGAGGTTTAATTTATTTTTGCTTATGTCACAAACAGCCGATTTAATCAAATTCAACGGAGCCTGAGGCTATGAAGAATCAATAAGAAGAGTGTAAAATATAATGAAACAAGGCCTAAATAGAACAGAATACAAACAAGGACGTGTGAAGTCAATGTGTGAAACATGAAAGTAACAATAATAGGTAATATTGCCTGGTTCCATGGTGGTTTGAAAAACCTCTCTCTTAACTGATGCTGCTCTCGTCCTGTTCCTTCCTCACTAACATCCTGCTGCTATCGTGTATTGGATCTTTTCCAGTCTGTGAAACACCTGAAAATAGCACACAATGCTACTTCATTACAAAACAGCAAGTGAGCACATTGAGCATCCAGAGAAATTCTGAGTGACTCGCGTTTAAATGAGCTTTCTCACAGTTCTCCTTCTGCAGCGTGTGATGTTTTTATTTTTGATTTTTTCAGGCGTTTGAAGTTCAAATCAAGCCCTGGAGAAAACAAGCTGCGACATGTGTTTTATAGATGCAGATGTGATGAGACTGATTAAATACACACAGTCTTAATTCCACCTTTTATTCCATGTATGCAGGAGGTGCTGGATCTGGAAAGGAGTCTGGGTGGAGTTCTACTGGAGGATCCTAAGCCACTGGTCTTCAAAGACAGTTACCACAACCTGCGACTGTCCATCCACGATATTCCTCACACTCACTGGAGAAGCAAACTACTGGCAAAATACCAGGTGATTTTTCAAATGTGTTCTTAAAAAGTCAGAAAAGACAATTTCCTCATGTCATTTTAACATCCAAATTGACATTAACATGTAAAAAACAGTTGTTATGAAACAGGGTCATCAAACTTAATCATTGAAAGGGCTGAAATTTAAACCACAGTTTAAATGTGGGCCATTTATTGAACAGTCCAGTGCTGACGATGCTTTACCAGAAATACAGAATTTGATCAGACTTGAACAGACAACAAGTTCTTCCTCAATAAAAACAAAAAATAATCAATTAATAGTTGATATTTTCATTGGTCAGAATGCTGTGGGTCAGGTCACAGGTGATGTAGTTTATATAGTCTATACTGTAGACTTAAATTTTTTTTAGGGAAAACCCCATGTATGTTACTCTGTTGGGCCACATGAAATGATGGTTTTTAGAGTTTGGCACAACATTTTATGGCATAAGAATGAGGATTTTACTCATGTTTTATTTCAACTGGGAAATTAAATACATTTAATAAGAATAAATATTTAAATTCAAAACAAATGCTAATATCACTTCCTCAAAATTTAATGTAATCCTAGTCTTAATGCTATGCAAATGGGGAGAAAAAAAAGCAGAATTAGCCGCAGCTGTTTTGTTTGTTGCCTTTGCTAGGATATTCACATTCAAAGACTCATTTAAAGTTATCAGCTATATTGTTTTTTTGGCTTTGCCTTCTTAACGAGGTTTTTATGACGTGACTTTATTGAATTATTTAAAGTTCAAATTGTTGTTCCTTAATTTTACTTCATTGGTTTTAAAAAGTTTACAAAAAATATTGCATTTTACCTGCATTAAGCTGTAGAAACCCTGAATATGAGAATATAAAAACACGCAGTACGGCTCTCTTTGTTAGTGCGGTGGTCGATGTCTCCACCAGTCATGTGGAAGAGGAGGGAGAGATTCCCCAACAGGGAGGCATTAGTTTCCAGTAATTGCCCCATAGAGACAAATAAATGTACAGTATTTAATTTGAATTATATTTAACTTTTTTCCATGTAAGTTTCAGTTTAGACAAATGGAAAGATGTTCTTTATTGATCCTGGAAAATTGCAGGTTTAATTACAAATTTAGGTTATGATTCAGACTAATTCCACATTTGTATATCTTTTATTATCTTAGATAATATCTAGAATAATGTACCTAAAAGAAAAGAAAAACCTGAGGATGATAGTGAGATCATCGTTCATTTTAAAAGGCAAATATAGGGTGTATTATGGTTTTCTCTCTATCTCTCTTTTTTTATTATTATTATTAGTTCCTATTTTTTCTCGAAACTATTTTCAGTTTTCTTGACTCTGCTGTGTAGCTGTAGAAGAGAGGACGAGCTTAAAAACCTAAGAATAGTGTGAATGGATCGCCATTGTTCCCTGAACATGAAAGCCTTATTTCTACTTCAGTCGAACTCAGTTTTATCAGTGAACACAGCTGTAGACTTTAATAAAAGCACCATGTTGTGAACATTAAAATTGGGCTTATTTTTTCCTCGTGGCAGGAGCTGAGATTACGGACCGAACTTCCCCAGAATAAACAAACGTGTAATCTGATAGTGGCTTTAATTTATGGACAGTTGGTTTACGAAAATAAATTGTACTCTGACATACTGAGACCTCATTGGTGCAACATAACGAGTGGCATGTTTTGTAAGTGTGTCCTACGTGGCGCAGTACATGATTGTGTGGGACAGAAAATACCTACCGTAAATTATCCTAATTGAAGAACCAGGTCTGGTCTCTAACACTTGTGTCTGTCTCACAGGAGATCCCATTCTATCACATTTGGAGTGGTTGTCAGAGACCTCTGCACTGCACCTTCAGTCTGGAGAGAGGCAGCCTGGCTGTGTCACAGCTCACCTGTAAGATCTGTGTGCGACAGGTGGAAGGAGAAGGACAGATATTCCAGCTGCACACAGATATCCAGGAGGTAATGGTGACAGCGCAGACACATACATTGCAATAGTGCGCAGGCAGCCAGGGCAAAATGCAAGAAAAGATTCAGACTCCTCTCCATCTCTGTCCATCCAGACTCTACCGCCCCACTCGCCGCTGCCCTCAGGAGGAAGCTGCCTACCTTCCTCTCACGTGGGACCTTACGCCTTTCGCTTGCCTGACTCCATCCGCCAGAAGATCTGTGCCAGTTTGGATGCACCCAGCGCTCGTGGGTGTGACTGGAGACTACTGGCACATAGCCTTGGCTTTGACAGGTCAGATCAGCCGCAAAGGGTTTGTGTGTAAAGTAAAGCTGCCTCAGGATTAAGTTGCAGGTTTGGAATTCCTCAGTCCACTGATAGACCTGTATGATAGTTACACTCACTTATTCAGACAAGCTAAAAGAAACAGTTTAAAGTCAGTGTCAATCAGTGGATCCCAGATTTTCTCTGCAGCTCTGACTCTTTGTAAATAGGACTGTTGTCAGGCCTCACCTCCTTCAAAACTGCTCCTCATTGAACGAAGGAAATAAAATTGCAAATCAGTGCAAAAAAACATGTTAACTATGCCTGTGTGTTTATGGTTACTTAGTTAACTTTTTCATTTTTTCTCCAATTCCATTGTCCATCTCTCAACTAATCCATTTGTTGCCTAACAATTATTTTCTGACTACTTTTGCCAGTCAACCCATTCACAAATATCAAAATTTTAGAGGGCATAAAATCAATGTTTTATATGAATTTCCCTTGAATTTCTAACTTCTCTTGATTTATGTCTTGCTTTGTCAGATGTCATAATGATATCAACCAAACAAAGCTGAAATGTAATACAGTGTACTACAACATGAACTCTATCACTTTCATTATTTGCGATGCAGCAGGTTTTTTTGTTTTTTGTTTTTCATTTTCTCTGTCCTTCTCATCACATTCACCACATTTCTCTTTTCTCCTCAGGTACTTGAACTACTTTGCAACAAAGCCCAGCCCCACAGGTGTTCTATTGGACTTATGGGAAGCCTGTCACCAAGGTGACGCCGATCTGGTCTCTCTGGCGACTGCTCTGGAAGAGATGGGCAAAAGTGAAGTGCTAGTTGTCATGACAACAGATGGGGATTGTTGATTTGTCACAGAGAGCAAAGCAAAGAAAAAACATTATTTTTGTACCGCAGTGAAGAAAACAAGAAATCCAGGCTAAGAATATGCACCGCCTGCCCCACAGTGTAAGGTCACAGAGCAGATTTCAGTTTTTCATACATGCTCAAATACCTCTGCTCCATCCCACACTCCCTGCCGGGCCCTAATCAGCCACTGTAGCTGCATCCGCCACCACCCATTTCCACGTCATGATGCTAACCTGATTTAGCTTGAATCTTCAAAGCACTGCTGCATATGCAAGACAGCGTAAGGATGACAAAGATGATGAAAAAAATCATTTTCTTTTATATAAAAAAATGTAATATTTGGATCACCACCATTCATTCAGTATGCATGGCCACAAAATTGCACACATACTAACTTATGATTACCCAGAGTTCAACAACAACAGCAGCAGCATGAAAGTGCATGATTTGACGCCATCTCACCTGATGTCAGGGGCCTTTCTTTACTTCTAATTTGTCATTGTGCGTGGGTAGAGAATGACAGGCAGCGCCGACCTGTCCACAACCTCCTCAGGCTACCGACACACTCCAACACACACGTGGACTAACTGGTCATTAATCTGTCCAGAGTTCGACAGGCTAGGATTTTTTTCCTCTAACTGCTACAACTGTCAACACATCATATGCGAAACAAGCCCTCAGAGCCTGTTGCTTTGGCTCGGGAACAAAAGGAAATTCTAAAGGAGTGGCCTCGCCAGTGTGGCCAGAGAGAGAACTTAAAAGTGTGTTTAAAAATTGGTGGGTAACGGGATGGACCGACCCTTAATATTGTACAGCACCAACAAATGCCTCAAAGCCTTGGCACATCATTCCAGCCCAGAGGGGTGTTTCTCCTTCTTCTCTATCGCTCTGCCACACTCCTCCCATCTGTCGACAATAAACTACAGGAGAGCTTTCTGGTCATCTATTAAAAGTTTCCTCTGGGGAACGCTCTTTAAGTTATTATCCTTTGTGGATTTTTGGCTGGTTTTTCTCTCATCGTTCTCTCCGTCATGACAGCACAGAAGCAGTTTTGTCATTTTATGCTTGGTGAGAATCCAGAGCTGCTGGGTTTTGTTTTTTAGCAGGTCCAACCGAATGACAGACTGACTGTAGTTTCACAGAAGATGACTCAGTCGTGAATAGCAGAGCCAAGATTTTTGTTAAAGGTAGAGTATGCAGAAAGAAGGTTATTTTTAAAAAGCTAATTCCCACAGACATTTGCATGGTGGTTTGTCCGTCTGCAGCAGAATTGCCCTCTGCTTTTGTTTTCTCTCATTCATTACGTGGCCATGATGTTTCTGTGTGAAAATGTTAACCACCGGAAGATAAACCCAGTAGGTGGTAGTAATGTAATTAAATGATACAGAATATAATAAGCTCACAGGTGGGCTACGTAGCTGACTATTGTATGACTAACAATGAACTCAAATTTAAAAAGAGTTATTTCAAGTATTTTATGTATTACAATAGTGGAGATTTTGGTAAGTTTTGTAAACCACACCCTGACCTGTCCTGTCAGGATAGACTGCTAGCTTAAACCCAGCTTCCCTGGAATATGCTTGCCTTTAAAGTTGTTTGTAGATTTGCAAGATTGATTTTATCGGAGACAATAATTTTCTCATTTAAAAAAAAAATCATTCACCAAGCTTTTTAAACTACAGGCAGTGGTGGAAACGTATTGCTTAGTTTACAAACACATTCTGCATATTCTACCTTTTAAAAAAGTCTTTTAAATGTTGATTAAAATAATCTCAACAAACAAGGTGCTGTTTGGCGCGGAGGTGATCGTACAGATTGAAAGCATCTCTGGTGGAAATGTAAGGAAGCCTTTGTTGATGTGGTTGTACCATCACAAATTTCTAAACATGTACCACAGATGATTATCACTGACAAATCAACTAATGAATTAAGAGACAACAACATTTGCTAATGAAAAAACAGTGACATTCTCCAAGATTTTCTTTTTACAAACAGGAAATTGCATCATCAAAATAGTTAATTAACATATATATCACAGTAATCATATATTGTAGTACAACATTTTGAATCCAATTATGTTTTATTTTTTATTTTTTCATATATTGGTTTTACTTTGTTAATTATTTGATAATAATAACAATACGTGGTTTCTGTTTTATACATTTGTACCGTAATGTTATTTGAAACTTGGTTGGGTTTGATATTTTTTTATTATCATGTTTCATGAAGTAGACAGAACATTGTAACATGTAAATTTCAGTGACTTTTTTTTAATTCCCTCTGATTTTCTGAAGTGGAATATATAGTACAGATAATTTATCTGGAGCTTTGAGTTTGATTCTAAACATCAGGAGCTGGTCTCCTCTGTAGAGGCCGCCATATTTAATTGCCTTGTTTTTACTTGAGCCCACTGTAAACAAAATAAATACAGTACATTTGGGGGGTTTGGACTATAAATGAAGGATGACATCAGTTCACCTTTATGCCAGGATAAGAGTTATGAGGTGAATCAAGCTACGTCATGTAATTTGTTGCTCTATTTTACAGACTGTACCTTTAATGTTTCTATTACTGAGGGCCTTGTGTTTTCTGTTGTCTGACTTGTTATTTCACAGTCCTGTTTGGCTGTGAGTGAGGGCGGTTTCCACTGTACACAGATGAATCATGCAGAACAGATTTGTCTTTTCTTGCATCAACCAGGCAGCGAGGGACCATGAAATTTACCTCAACTACAAATGCATTACGTCTCTATTCTCTGTCCACCGTTTATCTGTGTTTCCAGCTTTCAGTCCATCACAAGAACTCATCAGTTCCCTCTTATTTTAATTTGATAACATGTTTTTAACCTCTGGACTAAAACTGCCTGCTTTGTGGTCAGGGCTCTCAGACACTGTCTGCATTATCAATGTGTGTGTGTGTGTGTGTGTGTGTGTATGAAGTGTATTGTAAGACAGCAATTTAAATGCTGTCATCTTTAACACTTTATTTATTTATTTTTCCCTTAAGAGCAAAAAAAGTGTTAATGTCGTTGAATCTACGAAAAACCAAATCACAGACAGTACTCTCCTCTTCAGCCGTGAGTCATGGCACTGTTTTGTATGAATGAACTGTGTGTGAGTGTGTGCGCAGTTATGTGCACATGCTTAAAATCTGTCTTTTTTTTCTCTTTGTAAGTGCTATGCAAGTACAAAAGAAAAGTAAAAGCATTTTGAATTTCATTCTTTCCTGCAAGAGTAATTCTATTTTTTCAGAACAGGGCAATGACAGGGTTTTGTTTTTGTATTCTGGAGTGGTTTAAAAGTGCCGATGGCGGTCTCACTGAGTGGTAATTGTCCATCTGAGTCGCAAGAACTGGATCAGTGGCAGACGGAGGAAGCTGCAGATGCACAAGAGGAAAAAATAAAGCTCAGACGATGCAGTAGCTTCAACACAGGTCGTGACAAACAGTGAGAACCTTTGACCTGCTGGACGTTTCCCAGTGAGGAAATACGTGAACACAACCATTTTGGTTCAATGGATCCCTGAACATTGCAGGACTATTTTCTCTCCTCAAGTCTCGTTACAGTGACTGGCTATCCGTAGACTACAGTGTTTATTTGTCCAGATTTAATCAGTATCTGTCGAATCTCTGGCCATAGCTCTGGATAATGTGTGCGGACTGGATTCTACTGGAAATTTTTTTTTTCTTTAAGAAGTCTGATGTTTTTACAAAAACTCAATATGAATCCATCTGTGTAAAGTACCAATTGTAAATAAACATCTAGCCTTCTTACCTGTAACTAAATATAATTTTTATGCAATAAATTATATTTCTTAGTTTAACAACAGGGATGTTGTCCTTTTTTCTTGCTGCTTCTAATTAAATGATCCACAGAAGGAAAAGGCCATCATTAAGGTGAAACTGTGTTTTTATCACTTACACCTCATTTCACTAAAGATTCCGCCTTCGCCCCTACTTTCCTCACACCTCATTGGAAAATTACTTCTGGATCCATTTAGCTGTGAACGATTTTCACAGGCAAACTGACCGACCTTCAAATTAACAAAGTTTTAGAGACACTAATATTGGCCTTCTAGGGTTGATCCGGGAACTAACTTAAGTTTTTGCTTTCTTTTTTTTTAAGTGTAGAATTAATCAGATTAGGCCTTTATATTGAGAACTAATGTTAATGTTCTGTGACTCATCTGCAGTGAGTGTTTGCTGCACTCTGCTCTTAATGGCAGAAAACACTTTGCATTTGTTTCATTACTTACACTGCTAACTGGTGCAGTTGCGGCACTATTTCTTAGTTAACTAAGATGTTATTTTTTTAAGAATTTCCAACATAGATTAATAAAGAGTGAGGAGATTTTTAACAATTCTGTCCATTTTTATACCTTTCTTTACTGATGTTGTACTTAAGAAAAAAATGATTTCACAAAACCTAAAAAGTAAAAATTACTACTGCCATTAAATAAAGATTCCATTATTAGACCAAAGCGCAAATCAATAATGGACATTGCAGAGAGAAAGTCTAAAACATTTGAATTGAAAATAAAACTGCTGAAAAGGAACTGCTGATGCTCCCAAAGCAGGAGAAAAATAGTCAATGAGAGAATCTTTTTAAGGACCAATCAGTGGAAGAGTAATTTGTGCTCTTGCCTTATGGCAAAATCCTTGTTGTAGCTGATGGTCTTACTGCATGTTCTCCCCATGCGTGGAGGTGTTGTCTCTGATTTATCTGCTGTGATGCTCTCCAGCTCCCCTGCCACCCTCAAAAGAAATAAACGGTGGAATATGAATAAATAATTATTGTGATAGAGAGAAGAAACAAATGAAAAAAAGCAAATGATAACATTTTACGTGAAAACTTTACACAGTAAACAGCGACACTCTGTTTTAGTTACTTCAATAGAACTGAGAGCATACTCAGAACCTGTGAAAATGTATGGGAAAAAGCTAAAATGAATGTTGGTGATTGTCTTGCACAAATTGGCAACCTACTACTAATTCTTCAGAGAATGACCAAAGAAATGGCTGAGATTCTTCCGGCGATTTGTCTGACAAATACAGTATTTTATTTAGAAAGATGATTAAACATGTGACTATTGGAGTTCTTGGTGAGTTTTGGAAACGTTTTTAAGGAGGAAATTGCTGGATGGAGGTCTGTACTTTTAGTTTAAAAAATGTACTTGTGTTTAGGTTAATGTTGTATTTTTGTGAGTAAAAAGATTCCATATTTGAATGTTTTTAGTTTTACTTATTTTTTCCTGTGTGCCATTTTATGTTCCACAAAGAGACAGAGACCCGCAGCTTTTCATCGGGACACAAAAACGCCTGCTGTCATTCTCGGCAGCGGAGAGTTTTTATTTCTTCACAAAGCAGTTGTGAAGGTTCCCAGAAAAGAAAGAAGAGCAATGACAGATCACTCGCCTATACTGCCCTCTACTGGTCATTTGTAATATATTTTTTCTTTTGAAAAAAAAGGGACAAAGCCGAAAGAAGATATACATTATATATATAAACAAAGCACTCGTTACGTTCTCATGTAACCCATCCGTATATTTATAGTCCTAACGCCTCGTGCATTTTGAATGTATCACAAGTATTCCTCTAATGACAGGGATGGATGCTCCTAGGCTAACATTAGAACATTTTTAAAATGCATTTAGAAAGGAGTCGCTATACCGGAAGTTTAGTACCTGTCGCCATTTCCTGTTACAACAATACCTCGGAAATAACTATACAAATGCATGTGTACGGTAGTTCGCTTTTAAATGCGTCATTTCAAATGAAATACAGTTCGTTCAGCTTGTAAAATTTTGCATTAATATTAAAGTGTTTGAGGTTTTAGGATGGTTCAAATGTTCTGTTTTGAGGTCTACAGAGTGTTTAGGATGGTTCAAATGTTCTGTTTTGCCTATAGAGGTCTACAGAGTAGCGTCGCGCCAAGACCTTTATTTTAAAAGAGCTATGGCGGATGTCTGATTGTTGTTGTCCGCATGCTAAGATCGTCAGCTGACCTGGAAGGAAAATTGCCAATAAATGGATAATAGTGGCAGAACATCACTGTGAGGGAAGACAGAAGCAGCAGTCTGACAGCGAAGTACGTTTCTGTGGATACGTTGGCCTTAACAAGGTATAAGAATTGTATTTTGGAGGCATGTGTATGTAGTATGTGGCAAATAGTATGTGTTGAGCAACCCTTTTAAGCTATGCTATTTCACTTTTTGGATGCAAACGTTATTGCAATGGACTAATACATGTGCAGCTATGATAGTTGTAGATCATAGTTATAATCAAAACGACAGATTCTACAAGGTACAACGTTTGTAAATTAAAACGTTTGAAAAAAGCTTGTGAAAGGGACCTTCACCTTTCGAGTGAAACTGCTAGTTTCGACCACAGTCTAAATCAGCTTCATGGGAGAAGTTGTTGCTTTTTTAAATCACAGCTGTGGTTATTGCCACTGTGTTTATAAATATTTCAAACAACAGTTATTGCAGCATTTTTTCAATTGATTCCCGGTGATGCTATTTAGTCAGTCTAATCATACATACCAAAATCGCCACAACTCTTTATCTTTTATTGGCTTCCAATCGTATAGTAATATTTTAATCAAAACATATTGTATTTTAATATTTTCGATCGTGAACTTATTAAAATAATTTTTAAAAACATTAATACATTTTACACAAACTGGTATTAGTTTGTTTAAAATTGTATTGCATTGTGTATTGTTTTTAATTTATTTTGAATCAAGCACAAATGAACAGCAAATTATACTTGCTTGTTAAAGTCCAATTTGATTGAGTTTGGATACATTTGATTTAGTAAAACAGTTTACAAACACCCTAGTTGTTTGTTTGTTTTTTCCAAAACACAAACATATAACAAGCTGTTTGGCAATTAAATATCCTATCAACGGTTATATCTTACGGTTTCTATATTGAATCACAACTTTACACTAGTTGGGTCACATGACCTGACACTATTGTCCGGCCTCTTTATTACCATTTGACTTTTCCTGCTTTTTTTTTTTTTATCAGAATACTTGTGTTTTATTGGACAAAATATATACTCTTATATGAGGGAGTGACTGGAACTAATTTCTTTGAATATTTTTTACAGAAAAATGCTGAATAATTAAGTTACTATACAGTAAATTACAACATTGTGTATGAATATTAATATATAATTTAAACTAGTGTCCAATGACTAAGTTATGTCAAAGTGGTAATCCCCATTTTTCCCATATGCAAAGTTTGGAGCAACTGCGTCAAACTGACATGAAAAACGTTGAAGGTCAGTCTCACTACAGTAAAGCTCCATAATATTAAATTTTAAAAAATAGACATATTAAAGCAATCGGTGTGAGTTATTTGTTCTGTGTACCAAACGAATTCAGTGCTTGTTATGAGAGGCTCAGTCACATGACCTTAATGGTATTTAAATAACAATGTGCCAGTAACAATTTTTTTGTAAATCAAAGTGTCATATTGGCAGTTATCACAGCTGTGTTACCCAGTGTAATTTTTCTGATGCACCATCCAACTGTGAAGTTTACACAATTTCAGGAAGGTGCTTAAATAAGTTGAGGTGACTGTGGAACTATCAGGAACTTGTTGATAGTCCCTAAGTTCCAAAGGCATTTTTTAAAACTTAAAAAATTTGCTGCATAATCAACCTAAACTAACTTCCCTGCAATTGAGATTTGGTGACTCTTGGCTAGAGTGGTTTCTCTGACTAAGCATCATGTGAAAACGTCTTCCTCTTCAGACAGTCACATAATACTTTCAGAATGCCAGCTCAGCATTTTTTGCTATGAAGCCCACAATCCTTCAGTGAAAATGATCATGTCTAACATGTTTTTTTTTCTGTTCCTGTCTTGTGCATCACTCCTACATTATTATATGTACTGGGTGTGGTGTGTGGACATGATGTGGATAATTGTAAACATGTGGTAACCTTTAGCGTCCAGGAGTAGTTCCGTGAGTGAGCTGCGACTTTTGGCCTGATTCCCACTTTGAGAGAGCAATGGGTTCATAACTGGTCTTATGTAGTGTTTTTCTACTGCTAATACCTACCAAGCACCTACTGGCTTGTGTTTTATGTGTTGCCAGGGACACATTGGAATGTAAACAAACAGGTTCGGTTATAAGTCCACAACCCTCCATTGATTTCCCTAGAACAAAATATTAAGAAATCCTTAAAATTCACAGAGCATCTGTGTTTGATGGGATGCCTGTGTCTTTTCTCTAATGACCATTGACCTTTAATCAGATGTTACCCTCACATACGGTTCAGTTTTTGCAGGACTGGACTTCTAATCTCTGCTTCTCTACCAACTGCGGAAGTCAAATATTCTCAGTCAAAATGCTGTGAAGGTTTAACAGATGTTCTACTGTCTTCAACGACTATCTGCAAATGCATTCTTTTGGATAGAAAAACATTGTTCATGTCCAGAAATTAATGTACATTTTCTATGTCAAATCATGTTTTCACTGCAGCATCACATGATCTGAACCACTGATCTGTTTAGGCTACAGAAATCCCTCCAAATGGCTTCCAAACCAGCCTAGACTGTTTCTTCCTCTTTGGACTAGTAAATGTGAGCTTCACCTATACCCTTGGTACTGCAGTAATGCGATTTAAATGCAATAATTTGATTTTAACTCATGCTTTGTCTGACTTTTTATAGGTTTCTGTTTTGTGTTCTTTACTGCCATCCTTACTTTTCAAGTGGTTTTTGTTCCGCTTTGAAAAATGAGCAACAAAGTACCAAACAGTATAAACTCCTCATATGGTCCTCCTGCTTTTACCCATGAATTTGCGTCTGAGGATGAGGAGAACGACGAACAGAGTACCACTGTGGGTCTTCTTCCCAAACATCCATCAGTGCCTCTGGCTGTGCGCTACAGTCCAGAGGACTCTTACGGTTTGGTTTACATCATCTTCTTCCTGATGGGCATCGGCTCCCTGCTGCCGTGGAACTTCTTCATTACAGCCAAACACTACTGGCTGTACAAGTTGAGCAACAGCACTCATTCCAGCGATGACAAGGATCAACGTTCAAATCTTAGCGTGAGTGAGCAAGACTCAGAACATGAGGTTGTTTGTTGTTGGTGTGAATGTCACACATTACTGTGGTCTTATAGAACGATGAGTCCTGTGACAGATGTATGGCCAGAGTGTCCCCTCTCAGTTGATAGGAATGTTAACACAGTCATACCATTAGAAAGACTTGTTCCAGACCACGAGGTAAAGTCAGAGTAGGCAAAAAAAAAAACATGTACAGCTACCAAATATGGAATCCTTAAAATGGTTTACATTTAATGTTACATTTTAAAGGCATAGATAAAATTTGAATTGTTGATGAAGTGATGGAAAATAGCAGCCAAATATATCCACAATCAGAAAGAACATTCCCTGAACCTTTGTGTAAATGTAATCTAATGCTCAAAAATGTGTAATGGGTAAAAATAAATGCATTAATAATATTTAGTCAGAAACATTTAAATATTAGCTAACAAAGCAGTTTAATTTTGCTAAGAGTGACAAAAATATAGCTAAAAAAATATAGCCAGACAAAGCTGAATTCTATTGTATTAACTAGTACATGAACTCTGAATGTTTTTTTTTTCCTTTTGACTTTCCACAGGATTACTTTGAAAGCTATCTGGTCATCGCCTCCACGGTGCCGTCTGTGCTGTGTCTGATTCTCAACTACCTTTTAGTAAACAGGTTAAGAACAAACACTCATACACATGCACACACACACACACACTCACTGACTGGCTGATAGAATTTCCCCTTCACTCTCACGCTTTTTTACACCCTGACTGTGTTAAGTACATTTCTCCAGTCTCGCATGTCCTGTGACCACAGTGATGTTTTGTTCTTTGTTGATACTTTTATGTCACAGAACAGTAAAGTGATTTATGGTGGGACATGAAATGAGAAACATACAGACAAGATGAAATTTTGAAAACATTTTTGCCACAATAATTTCATCATAATTTCTCAATATCTGACCAAAATTATATGCTAATTTAGGATTTTGCCGAAGAAAATGCTCTAATTTGATGAGAAACACGCAGACAAGATAAAAATTTGAAAAAGAAATTGACAAAAATCTTTTTTTTTTTCAACTTTTAAACAAACATTTGGAAAAATCAGTTTTTCCCTGTTGACAGGTTGTCTGCAAATGTCCGGATCCTGACCAGTCTGGGAGTGATCCTGGCAGTGTTTGCAGTGACCACGGTGCTGGTGAAGGTGGATGTCTCCGACTCAAGGATGGAGTTCTTTTTTGGAACACTGGCCAGTGCAGCTGTGGTCAGTGGAGCCTCCAACCTCTTCTCTGCCAGTGTGTTTGGCATCAGTGGGCATTTCCCCATGAGGATTTCTCAAGCGTTAATATCAGGTACTCCTTTCACTTTTTCAAATATAAAAATATTTACAGAACCTTTACACTTGAATGTAATATAGCAGTGGGTGAATGGGAATATAGTGCAGCAAAAAGTGAATTTGAATTAATATTCATCTTTTAAGGGTCCTGTTTGTATTTCTCAGAATTAATTTAAAATAGTTTTGAAAAATAACAACAAATGTTATCAATAACAACCCAAAGCTAGTAATTAAATAGTCAGTAAAATGGTTTTCAATGTTAATAATCAAGGGAAGAGCAAGATGGGAAAAATATTTCTGGGGTGCCGCTGGGGGATTTTTTTGCGGTGGCAACAGATTTCAGGAGTCTGTTTACCCATTAATCACAGTTTGTAGAAATATAGTAAACAGGAAAATAGTATCAGTATCCAATTATTTTCAGTTGCTGTTTCTAAAACACATAATAGGACAGTTGTTCCCAGAAGGCACGGGGCAAAGAGACAAATAAATAAAAATATTTTAATATTTTATTTAATTTGGCCACAGTGGGCACAATTGACTCATACAATAGGATTGAGATTGAATTTCTATAGAGATGCCATTTAATCTGAACAGGTTTTAATGTACAAACACCACTGTTCAATATTGTTTAAAAAAAAAATCTGAAACCTCTTGTGTCTTAGGTCAGGCTATGGGAGGCACATTGAGTGCGACAGCATCAATACTGGATCTGGCTGTCACCGAAGATGTAACTGACAGCGCTCTGGCTTATTTCCTGACAGCCGACTTTTTCATTCTGCTCTGCATCATCACTTATCTGCTGCTGCCTAAACTAGCTTATTCAAGGTCAGTAACTGACTGTTCGCTAGCATTTTTATAAAGTGCTCTCTGCTGACTATCGCTAGATGGTGCCAAAGGTACTAATGTTAAAGACTGACAGCGCATGTAGTTAATTGGCTTTTTAACTGTTTTATATGCCCTGGTTCGTTGAGTGGGCTGGTGGGCTCGGGCTTACATAGAATCAAATCTTAAGGTTTCAAGACTAGTGATTGTCAAAAGAATACATACATTGATAAAAACACCAGAGCCAGCAGTTAAGAGTGCTAACTGTAATAATTGCAGCTGTAAACCTCCAACATCATGTCAAAATGTTATTGTTGTCCTATTTTTATCGCATCAAGCGAAATGTAATATTATCTAACATCTTACGTTTTTGTTTTTTTTTTAATTCTCAACATCCCACAGGTATAGTTCACAGATATTTAATAATTTAATATCACACTGTTAAGCTGTAAAGTAAGTAAATACAGACTATTATATCAGGTGAAAGTCCAAATGTTATCAGAGGTGTTTTGGAGCAGTCCTTTCTAAAACATACCTGTTTCTTGTTTCCAGACACTACATGCTGGCAGCCACATGCACCAGTGCACCTGTGCAGAGTGAGGGCACTGCAGGTAGAAGCTCTGTCCCACCTTTGCAGCCCATCCTCAGGAAGACCTGGATTCTGGGTCTCAGCGTCTTCTACGTCTTCTGCATCTCCTTGATGGTTTTTCCTGCTCTGTCCTCTGGGATCCAGTCTGTCCACACAGACAGTGGCAGTAGGTGGACCACCACGTACTTCGTGCCCCTCACCAGTTTCCTCTTGTTTAACTTCGCAGACTTTTGCGGCAGGCAGTCCACGGTCTGGCTGCAGGTACCAGGCCCCACCAGCCGAGTCCTGCCGACCCTGGTCCTGTGTCGCTCCATCCTTGTCCCACTTTTCATGTTCTGTAACTACCAGCCTAGAGACCACCTCCACACAGTGCTGTTCCAGCACGATGCCTATCCCATCATCTTTAACTGCATGCTGGGCCTCTCCAACGGCTACCTCGGCACTTTACCCATGATCTACGGACCAAAAGTGGTTCCTCGGGAACTGACGGAGGCCACGGGTGTAGTCATGTCCTTCTTCCTCACTCTGGGACTGGCTGTGGGCTCTGCATTTTCTGCTCTGATTGTACACTCAATCTGACAGTCTTTTACTCAGAATGCAGCAGTGGAGGAAAAAAGTTAGGTAGTTAACTATCATGAGGGAAAAATCCTGAGACGCTTCACAAAAACTCTGCACCAGAAGTCATTCATACCTCAGATTTGAATGGATCTAGTTTTCACTAAAGGGTGTTTTTACACTTTTCACTTGCAAGCAATGATTTGCACGAAACTTAAAAATGCACAGTTAGTACGTTTGCGGGTTCTTTCCCTGACACTGCCTCACCACAGCACTTCTTAATCAAGGCTTTAAAAACAACAAAGGACAAGTTATGTGTCAACATTTAGGACTTTGGACTTACCAAAATTATGTATCTTTCTATGTTTTAGTCCAGTCCAGAAAAAGCAGAATTCACGTGTGAACACAACCTTAAGTATTTAAAGGGCCGTGCCCATGTGTCAATACTTAAAGTGAGGGTGTAGTATTTGCAGTCCTAGTGACAAATCAGTTATGTATATTTTTTGTACTTTCACATTGAAAACACTTGTGTCAAAATTGTAGATGGTATAGTTTGGGATACAGGTGTGTAGTTGTTGTATGCAATGTCTGTGCAATTATGAAGAGTGGGACACATCAATCTGATCAACAGTTGTTTTGTCTACAAATGTAAGTGATCACAATATTGATCAACATGTTTGGTTTTTATTATAAGTTTGTTTAACTTTTAACTAACAATTTAACAGTGTCTAATCAGGAACTATTTCATGTTGTGAAGCACCTGCTGTGTTAAGTTTAAGTCTGCCCCTGTAGTAGTGCTAATTAACTTAGCAACAACCAGGAAACCTTTCCTGTTTTGGCAAAATAATTTGTCCTACTGACATTAACAAAAACAATTCAACAAAATGTCTTTTACAGTTTAACAACTAAACAAACTATAGACTTCTAAACGTTTCAGCTATATTGAATAATTCTTTTAACTCATATTTTCAGCTCAGATGTTGTTTCTGTGGACATAAAGTAAGTCATTGGCTACTGCAATGCTCTTAACTACACATTGACCAGTTACCTATAGTAGTAATTGTCCTGAACTGTAATACATTTAATAATTTTAATACAAAATAATAACCAAGGAAAATGTTTGAAAACTTTAATTGTTAAAAATATAGAGATCAACTGACAGTATGCCCCGAAATACAACTTTATGACCTAAAACATGTTGCCAAGTGAATAATTTGTGCTAAAAACTAAAAAAACTTATCTGAAATTTTCGAAATATCACCAAAAACAAGAAAGACTATAGTCTTACTCTCACGAAAAAATCCCCTCCCAAAAAGTCAATAACGGAAGTAGGATGACGTTGTACGTTGTTATTTCCGGTTGCGGATCCGGCGCATGAGACGAAGAGTGTAGTCTCGGCAGGTTGGCTACATCTAATTGATTGAAATGGTGGGTTTTTGAAAACAATTGTCGGTTGTATTTTGTTTAAAATGGTGGGTTTTTGAAAACAATTGTCAGTTGTATTTTGTTTGAAATGGTAGTCGTTCGGTCGAGACCGCTAGTGCGATTTACGCTAGCATATGTGCCTTGGTAGCTAACGTGAGCTTTTGTCAGAAGATAAAATGATTCGGTTTTTCGTCCTAGACAATGAATGTATTTGTCTGAAGGAATTGTCCTTTGACAAGAGTTTGAGCTGGGCTGACGCACATTTTTGCACTTAACAAGTGCCACAAATGACTACAGGATAGTAGTCGTGAAGCTGCAAATGGCGACACGACTCTGCAAGTCGAGTAGCATCAGCTAGTTTTGACTTGCAATTGTGTTACAAACATAAGGCTATATGCTCTATAGTGTGTGTGATATGAAAATCATACTGTAATCATGAAATGGGACACGACTAAGGCCAGTATAATTGATTTATTTTCATTCAGATTAAAAGTAAAGTAGCGCAGCATGGATTTCTTCCTGAGGCTATTGGTGGCGCCAGTAGTGTAGAGCAAACCAATAATTTGTTAAGTCATGATTGCAGCCTTTTAATATTTACCTTCAACAATGCCTCCACACACAGGTGGCCAACGTGTGGTACTCCGTCAACGGCGAACGGTACCTACAACGGACACACGGGAGCTGTGCGGTGCGTCGACTGTATCCTTTCATGTTATTGAGGTCGGTATGCTGCCGTGTCTTCACCAGGGATGTCATGAGTCAATATGACTAATAATTAGCGATATGAAGGCCCTAACATTTCCTGAGTAGCGTTAGAAAATATAACTAAAGTGAAGGTGAACTCAAACAATAAACACAATAAACAAGGGAAGACTGACATACTGCAACAATGTTATGACATTAAAGCATATGTTGTCATGCAACAGCACAGTGTTGTGAAACCAATAAAAGCAATATTGTGATTCATTTTTCTGACACTTATTGTACCAAGTAAATGTGTGATCATGACACAGTTGGCCCTAGCGTACGCTCATGAATTGCTGCCACTATACATGCTACCTTCCCTAACTGGCTCTTCTCAGGATCAGCTGACAACAGCTGTTGACTTTGGAACTGTGAGACCGGTGGGTGAAAAGAAAATGCAGCAGTACAGCACCAAAACAACAATAAAAACTCACAATTAGGTAAAATACACACGAGTAGCAGCACACTGTCAATGAATATGGGAAATCTGAACAGTGGATGTTAGTAAATTAGTCTGTTAGTAGAAGTAGATTAGTGTTAGTAGGTAATTATTGTTGCTGTGTGTGGTGTTGTTGATTGCAATCTCAATTATATATTATATTTTTGTTATTCTAAATTAAATTGGTATGTGTATGTATAGTAAAGTATACCACATTATATCTATGATATGTATATATAAACAAAACTAGTATAATTATAAGGATGTTATGTAAACAAGTATATAAAATAAATATATAATATATGAAATATATGCACAGTGTAAATAGAACAGTTAGCTATATAGGCAGTTCCAGCAGACATATTACTGTATGAGTGTTTAAATGTATTTTGGATCATTTCCTGTCAAGTGAATGGGTGTTTAATTTTTGCTCCGTGTTCCTTCTTTAATATCTGCCGTCAGAACCGGTGGGTTCTATTTCAGCAGCAACATCATGTTTTCTACAGACAAGCAAATGAGCTGTCAGTGTTTCATGAACTCGTTTGACCTGGGGAACCACAGATCGGTAGGTAATCGTCACGCAATATAAATTAATTAATACCATAACAGAAATGAGACTGCAGATAGGACATGGCTTCCCGATTACTGCTAAAGAAATAGTTTGCACACAGTATTATAGAAAGGATATAATGAACCACAGACAGCATCTTTTGTAGAGCTTGTGATAATGAGGAACATTTTGTTGTGTTATTTGTTAATATTCCAGAGAAGTCCTGAAGAAAGCTAAGGAGCACAGCAGGCACATCAATGACATCCAGGCGTCTGTAGACCTCATCATGTTTATCAGTGCCTCATAGGACAACATTGCCAAGGTGAGAACAGTTGTTAAAAAATGTTAAAGTAATAAAGTCATCAGAATGACACCTGGCTGGCCATCAAGGAGAACGCACAGAGAAGAATTTTGTTTTTAACCTTAAAAATGAAACCTGAGTTTTTGAAGGCAAATAAAAGAGTTGTCTATGAAAATTCTCAGTCATCCAGGTCATGGTCAAGGTTGAAGAGTTCCGTTAGGCAGCTGGAAGTGACATTTTTTCGAGAAGACGTTTCGCCTCTCATCCAAGAGGCTTCTTCAGTTCTCACTGGTGGAGGGTGAGTACAGCAAATATATATTGCGGGTGGGACATGATGGGGTCATGTGGGAAAGTGTAAACAGTCGTTAGGAGTCTGATGGGTTATTGTAATCCTCATTTGAATGGTTTCAGTATGCGGGTGATAGGTTGTGTCTTAGCCCATGAAAATGTCATGTCCAGTTGCCTAAAGGAAGTCTTCAACAAAGAAAAGAGTTATTGTTTTCCTTTTAACTTTTGGATTTGTCGTTGTTTATATATGTATGGAATTGTGAGGTGACCCTCCAGTCATTTGTGCTTGAGACCCCCGCTCCAAAGTACAACAACAGACATGTATTTGAAGATATTTATTGATAGTCTGTTATACAAGTATGTGTAAACTGAAGTCAACATTGACAATTTTCTGGGGGTTATAAGAAGATACACCAAAAGAACCACACAGTAGTAGATGTGATTACTTTGAGTGTCCACTTGTACCATTTATTTACAATGACGTTTTCCTTCAGTCTAGGATTTAGAGTATTTGAAGTGCATCTTAGGAGAAATGAGTGGTACAGTTTGAAACAAACTGTCTGTTATGGTTTTGTGTTACTTTTTAATGTTGACAGATTGCAATTCAATAAAGCTAAGTGACTTAAATGTCTGTCTTTAAGAGGCAGCTTGAATAAAAGTTTGCTTAGTTCAAAGCTGACCGTGAGGCTGTGAAAGGCTCTACGTCAGCCACCCACCCAGATAGAGTGGAGTAAAAATGAAATTATTATTTAATGTTTTGGAATCCAAGACGTGGACTGATGATGTGCAAATGACTGAGTGCCATCGCCGCAGCTGTTTGACTGTGTCTCTCTGGATTGCATCAAGAGACTGGTGAACTCTGCTGCCATTTATCCAATCATAGATCACCCAAAATGAATTTGTCACTGTGCAATGTGTATCCTAGTAGATCAACAGTGACCTCGAACCTTACATTTGTGTGTGTGTTGTAGGTGGTTATGGGAGGTGGGGAGGTGGGCAGGAGGCCATGGAAGTGACCGCAACCTCCACCAGGATTGGCAAATTTGAGGCCTGGTGAGTTGAAGTTTTTATTATTATTTATTATTATTATTGTGTGGTTGAATTAATCATCCAGTGACTACTGTCTTCATCTGAACAAAAGAAACAGATGCCCCTTATTCAATTGTGGTGTTTGCATTAGCATGACTTTGTATCACTGTTGATAGTGAGCAGTAATAGTGATGTGTAAACATGTAGTTGTTGGCGGTGGTGTGGAAGTGACTACTTTGTAGCTGCTTTTAAGGAAAACCTGTTTGTTTGTGTTACATATGGCACAATGTGTTCTTCTAATCTGCAGGTTCTCTACGCTGTGTACGAGGAGGAGTTTGGCAGGAGTCAAAGGTCATTTTGGTCCCATCAGCTATGTGGCTTTCCACTCTGACGGCAAGAGGTAAATGAGATCAACACAGCTTTTCATTCCAGCTCATTCTTCCATTCATTGTGCCTCCTCTGCTATTGTCATTAACAGATTGCAGAGTGCAATGGAGGAGAAGATGGACATGTGAGGTGGGGGCCTACAGTGTTAGGCTTGTGGACACAGCCAGGTAGAGTAAATGAGCAACTTTATTTGAAGCAGATCACTTGTTTGACTAATTTCTGTAACTGTAGTGACTTTCATTGTGTAACTTCATTGCAATGCTATTGTTTATTTAACACTTAGTCTTTTTTTACTTAATTAATTGTGTAACTTGAGCTGTATTGTAAACCTTCCAATAAAAGAAAATGGTTGGAGCATTGTCAGTGTATTGTCAAGGGTAAAGAAATTACAAGCAGTAAGTTAAAAAAAAACAACCACAAACCTTACAATGTGGTTGGAAAAAAATACTTCCCCAATGAACAGAATAACTTTTTACTCTTTTAATAGTAAAACACTTCACATGTACAAAACATGCATTCAATCAAAGTCCACAGATACACATTTAAAAACAATACGTGTCAAATTATAAGTCAAATTATAACAGTAACTCTCATTTTAACACTTCAGGTAAAGATGGACAGGTCACATACTCACAACCACCACATGTGCTCACAGGATTCAACAAAAGTCCCATCATTAGGAGACAAACAACTTGGTTAAACCTCTTCTTTTGGCCTGAAACAAGATGAAATAAAGACAACATTCTATAACAAATGCTCTCAGATGACTACACTATGTTCAAAGTGTTTAGCATTAGCATGTTACAATATGCTTCAATTAACCACTACAATCTACTCAAGCAAACCACTCATTTGCTTTGTGCCACTACTTTAAACAATTTCACATTCAACATTAACTATATGAAACAACAATTCAATTACCAAATAAAAATACTTAATTTGGACAAAGTCAAAAACAACTCTCCATCTAGCACAAACCTCAAAGTCCTCACCCCAATGTACTCCTCTTCCTTCTCCTCTTTCACTTCTGCAAAGACAAATACATAAATGCAATGACACTACTACACACTACTGTCCAGTTGATGTGTCACTCACTCTTTTAGTCAATACATATGAAAGGCTTGAATCCATTTCTTTTCATACCTTCAATAGTGACGTTGAATCAGCTCCACACTGAAGGACCACTGCACTCAGCCAGTACATCTCCATTACTTTGGCCATGATCTAAACCCAAGATGCACATTTACACACAAAAAAAACCTTGTACACTGAGAATAAATCACACCCACAGTAAAATAGACTTACTGATTTAAAGATGACTTTGTGGGTAATTCACTGCGTAGTATTTGCCCTTTCCAGCCTGGATGTCCTGTAAACATTTCACAATACTCTGTAAATGCAGGTCAAAGAGTTTCATTTCTTAAAAGGTGTGCTGCTACACCTGAAAAGTATTACTTAACATGCAGACTGAAACGATGCATGCAGAATTAGTTGGAATGTCAAACCCTGCGGCTCAAACAAGCTACTGTTTAGC